GGTGCTACCACTGGAGACTGGCTTATTTAATGAATAAGATCCCACTTGCACATGACCTTGAGCACCAAACAGTTTTTCTAGATTAGTACTACATTCAAACAAAAATTTGTCATGTTGTGTGAATTGGAATGTTTTTGTTGCTGTTCCAAGCACTAGTTTTCATTCTCCTTCCACAAGCCTTGATGATGGCACAGTAAACTGTTGTATCCATTTCTCTGAATGAGGTACATGAGATTTCTCAAACAAATAGATCTTAGTGTTATGCCAGAAATACAAAAAAAATGTAGTCAAAGCTTTTGTGGCTAATTTTTATTTTTCAATGATGGACAAAAGAAGAAACCACAAGATGTCACTCTCTTCTAAGAAGCTGAGAAGTACTTTCCTGTTGACAGTAATCCTATGGGAGTGTTGGAAAGCTGAATATCCTGAATGGGACTCCAATATATGTAGGTCTTGTGAAAATCAATGAGAGTTGCTTGAGTTTGAGAGTATAATTAAACCCAGGTACCTGAGATTAATAATTGGGGGCAGGGGGAGCAAACCCCCCAGAAAACTGCTTTGTGTTACAAACTTTTCTCTGGATAACAGATTGCTGATTTAAGTTAAATGATCTTTCTCAAAGTAAGAAAAAAAAAAAAAATCACCGAAAACCTTAATTTTAAGTGTCTAAAAATGTTGTATTCATAAACGTCTAAAGGAAGAACATAATCCTTTTATTGCCCAACTCTTTCTTGAGAATAACTGACAGAGGGGAGAATGATGCATACCACAAGTAAACAGTAGCAGGGGAATTAGTTGCTGTTTCCATTTGCAAGAGGAGGAGAAGGACCAGTTGTCTCCAGAGAGGCATGTAATTATTTCTTCCCTCATTGTGCAAAATATAAAAAAGAACAGAAGTTATTAAAAAGGTGAGAGAGAACAGGAGAAAAGAAGGGAGGAGCTCCTCTGAATCAGATCATAAATACAAACTTACGGTTAATAAGAGGGTTGCTTCTCAGTCAATAGAATTTTGTCTTTTGAATTTTATGGGAACAAATGCATATAGGCTGAAATTTAGTTTTAGTTATAGGCTTTTCTGGCATACATTCACTTCAAACCAGCACAGATATTGCTCAAAAGTTATTCATGCAAGGAGAACTTCCAAAATTTGACACATTGTTCACTTTTTTTTTTTATACTGCCGGTGCAAATCATGCAGGTCAAGCTGCGAAGTGATGGATGTTCTCCGTGGAGGCTGGTAATGCTCCCTTGGAGAAAGAGCATTTGAACACATTTCTATCCCTGCCTCCTTGAATTGTTTAGTTCTGTTGCACAGAAGAAAAATGGAGCTCCTTAGTATATTGCTGTTGCTTATTGCCCTTAGTGTATTGTAGTCTGGACTTGGTGAGATGGTTTTTGTATTCAAATTTAGGCAAAAATTCTAATTTTGGTTCTGTATAGCTAAAAATGTTATGCCTGGGAGAGAAAAGAGGTAGTGTTTCTAAGAAGGAGCAGGGGCTAATTTTACCAAGATACAGAACTAGCCTTGCTGCAGGTAAAACCAGCTCCTTTGGCGTGGAGTTACTTACATAAGGGCTGGTTCTTCATGTTTAAATGATTCTATGAACATCACCTAACATCTGTAAAAGTGACCCATATGCTAAGGATCTTTTGTGGTTTTAACCTTATGGGAGCCTGATTTTTAAGCTATTACATTTTTTCAGGCTAATTTTTGAGATGTACCCTCTGAGTTGGAACGACATGAGGAGGCAGATGACAATCGTGAGTCATGTTTATTTTCAGTCCATTGAAAACTCTTCCTGACCAGTTTTGTGTTTTCTTTGCATTAGTTCCTTGCAGCATAGATGCTTCTTACCAAGGGAAGGGCTGAAGATAGATGTGAAATAAAACTATGGAATTATGGAAGGACAGCGGACAGTCAGAATTATTTATAGAGGATATCAGGCAAGTGCACAGACTTCCCTAGCAGTTGGACTGAGCATAGGTATAAGTGGAATGATGCAGAATTGCATATTCCAAATCTGATTCTGAGAATTGCCTGAATGGGCATATAGGAAACCAGCAGAAACAGAAATGCAAGCACTAGTTATTTCACGTGATACTCTCCTAGTCCTTACAGATGCAAAATCGCCATTTCATGTTTCCTGAAAATTGGGAATTATCTGGTTTTCAAAGGCATGAATTGATTTATTACCAAATTATGCAACGATGTCAGTTGTAGACTGCAATGAGAACAGCTCTCAAACAATACTGGTTTTCAGTAGCAATAATATCATAAATATTGTTACCAACTTATTGAGGTATATGAATACTATTCCATTGTGGTTTTTAACCTAAATTTTGTATAAAGTTCCTTTCAAAGATGCTATTGCTTTTTTGAGACAATACTAGCAAAATAATTGTCTTTTTGTTTAGATTTTTTTGATAAGGGGAATTTGTCAGTAGTGGCTCATATGTGAGTTTAGGTGTAGCCTTAAAAATTAAAAAATTGTATTTTATGTTGGAGGCTATATCAGAAAATAAATTACTGAAACTTCTATAGTTGTGCTGTGTAAGTGACCCATGATGTGACACTGCCTACTGATATTCTTCTGTGATGTGCTAGCACTGGAGACTGGCTTATTTAATGAATAAGATCCCACTTGCACATGACCTTGAGCACCAAACAGTTTTTCTAGATTAATACTACATTCAAACAAAAATTTGTCATGTTGTGTGAATTGGAATGTTTTTGTTGCTGTTCCAAGCACTAGTTTTCATTCTCCTTCCACAAGCCTTGATGATGGCACAGTAAACTGTTGTATCCATTTCTCTGAATGAGGTACATGAGATTTCTCAAACAAATAGATCTTAGTGTTATGCCAGAAATACAAAAAAAATGTAGTCAAAGCTTTTGTGGCTAATTTTTATTTTTCAATGATGGACAAAAGAAGAAACCACAAGATGTCACTCTCTTCTAAGAAGCTGAGAAGTACTTTCCTGTTGACAGTAATCCTATGGGAGTGTTGGAAAGCTGAATATCCTGAATGGGACTCCAATATATGTAGGTCTTGTGAAAATCAATGAGAGTTGCTTGAGTTTGAGAGTATAATTAAACCCAGGTACCTGAGATTAATAATTGGGGGCAGGGGGAGCAAACCCCCCAGAAAACTGCTTTGTGTTACAAACTTTTCTCTGGATAACAGATTGCTGATTTAAGTTAATTGCTCATAGGGGAATTTTCGTCCAGTTCATAGCCTGCATGATTGCATTGTGTACTTGCTGTGGGGAGAAATAAAAGAAAAAGGTTGTTCTTTCAGCCCATCTCCGTGAACAACAGTAGAGCTTTACTGTGATTACTTCTGAGTGTCAGCGCTGCCATAGGAGACACGTTTTCTTGACTACAAGAGAATTAACTAGGGTTGAAGTCACTGATATGCTGGCCCTGTTACTCTGTAGATGTTCTCTTTGGCTTACCTCTTCCCCCCACCCTGCCCCCCTTGCTGCCTTACATACAGCCACTAGAATTTCTGCATGAGCAGATTCCCAATGTACAGTGAGGTTATACCAGTCAGGTATTCTACTCTGTTCCTGGGGAGGAAGCAGCATTTCTCCTGTGAGGATTTTCTAAAAAAGGTGACAAGGCATATTCCAAAAGCAGGGTTTACAAGCTAATTCTTGAGTTGTTTCTGTCCCTTTTAATGGGCAATCATTCATTTATTTTTTTTTTGTCCCTACAGTGGAAAATGGAAATAATTAAAAAGAGATGGATGGTTTAC